TCCACATGCCCACTGGGGCGAGATGCAGCCCGCGATCGAAATACGTACTTCGGTCCCCCGCTCTGCACGCCAACATCCTACAGGTCGCAGCTGCACCAACCCGCCTGCAGAACCCATTCAGTTTAATTTCTTCCATGCTCAAGTGAGTTCCAGGCCAGGCAGCCGTGGAGAGAGCAGATGCTTCTTCGGCTTCCTTTCCTTTTTGATAACCGATCAATGGGTCCGCGAAGAAGAGGACGCACTCGTCTTCGCGCACCCCCCATCTTCAGCAACCCGAGTTGTGAGCAGCCCGTTGGAGACTCTCAGACATGAGCCCATTTCCACGCCGTTGGCAGCTGTCAACTAGATTGCACTTGGAACTCTTCACGCGGGATGGCAGCGGGTGTTCCCCATCGGTTGTAGCTGGTACGCCACGAAAGTCTCAACGCTCGCAAGTGCTGTCACGGGAAAAGCAAGGTAGGTAGCATCTTTCTGGGCGTCTTCCATGGCACGGCCCCAAGACAGATCGACGGGTGGGATGGTGTGGGAGGCACCAATTCCAAACTTCCGGTCCTCATACTACCATCCACACAGGGCTGGACCGTCTGTTCCCATCTCTGGTCTCTTCTCCTTCTCTGAGCCACTCGCCTTCATCCGCCCTCGGCTCCCTCTGCGGCGAACGTATATCCTTGTCTTGATATAAACAAGGGGTGCGTGGATGGGCCGTCCGCAGTGTAGGGTTACCACCGTCCGCAGGCCCAAGTGATCTCTCTCTCTTCCTTCCTCTCTCTTCAAGGGGTCTCCCGTTCTTGCATGGCCACACCCACCCACACAAGTGGTACAGAGGCTGTTTTGGAAGAAATCCGGCGCCACTTGGGGCTGGACTTCCCAGGCAGAGGTCACCGAGAGGTCAAGGTCTGCCGCCCTTCCGTTTGGCTCATGCTTTACCGACCCTGTCGCTGCAGAAGTGGGAAGGGAAGAAAGAAGGAAAGGTAGACCCTTTCAGCCCGCACTAGGGCCTAATATGTGTGCCTCTTGCGAAGGAGGAGCCTGGCAGGTGTTGTAGGCGCGTAGTGTGGCCAAAGTAATCTATGTGTTCCAGGGCGAGCAAAGCAAAGAAACAAAACGCCTTGCCTTACTTTGTGGTTCCGAGGTCTTCAAGCTAGGTGTTATGACATATAGAACCCACACCCCTCTCGAACCTTTCTTGAACCGATTTCCGCAGCACTTTGTTACGAATCTGATCCATATCAGCCAGCCAAGGCTCCTTTGAGCTTGTGAACTCGCGCGAGATATCGAAGGAAGCAAAGAGGACAATCACAGCCGGCCATGTCGCAGGCCATCGCGGCTCTAGTATACGCGGCGCAGGAGGCCCGGAACACAGCGACGACAACGGCAGCGGCCTCGCCTGCCACGACATCTTCGACATTACCGCCCGTCAGCGACGACTACCCATACCCGGAGACGGGGCTCCAGCAGATTGGCTTCTTCATTCTCTTCTTCTTCCCGGCTTTGGCGCTTATTGTTGTGGGATTGAGGGTGTATAGTCGAGTCAGCACGAAGCAGTTCGGATGGGGTAAGTTAGTTATCAAAGCTGGCTTGTCTAGTTTAAGTGTGCGAGATTTGGGCTCTGTGACTAACTGTAGCTTTTAGATGATGGCTTGATATGTTTTGCAATGGTAGGTTCCAACATGCACTTTTCCTTGGATTCACTAACATAGGCACAGGCGGAGTCCGTCGCCGAGACGGGAGCATCTTACATGGGCATGCGGTACGGCTTCATCGGCATCCACGTCTACGATATCCCTCTGGTCGCAGACAACCGCCTCGGCAGTCTGTGGAACTACATCATCCAGCTCCTCTACAACCCGATCCTCGCCCTCGTCAAGACCTCGGTCCTCATGTTCCTCCTCCGCCTGAGTGGGCAGAAGCGGCGCATCCGCTTCGCCCTCATCGGCCTCAACGTCTTCAACCTGACCCTGATGGTCGCCATCTTCGTCACCGTCATCTTCCAATGCCAACCCATCAACTACTTTTGGGAGAAGGCGGGCCGGAACCCGCCCACGGAGGGGAAGTGCATCGACATGAACGCCTTCTACGTCAGCACCGCGTCCCTGACCATCCTCACCGACGTGCTGGCCCTCGCGATGCCGTTTTGGATCTTTCTCGGGCTTAAGATGCCCACGAGGGTCAAGATGGCTCTGCTTGCCGTCTTCGCACTGGGTGGAATGTAAGTTTACGCAACCTCCTCCTTCCAAGTATCTCGGCTTACAAAGGCTTCTTCCAGTGTCACCGCAATCAGCATCCTCCGCCTCCTCTGGCTCGTCGAAGTCGGCTACCACATAAACACCACCGACCCGACCTACGACATCCGCTTCACCTACTCCGCCGTCGAGACGAACCTCGCAATCATCACCGCCTCGGCCCCGGCCCTCCGCGGCCTCTTCCTCCGCTGGTTCCCCAAGTTCTTCGCCTCGCTCAAGTCCTCCTCCAACGGCCGCTACGGCTACGGCCGCTCCGGCGACCCTACGAAAAAGTCGCGGACCACGGCGACGGTGACCACCAACACGCGCGGCCGCAGCGGGACGACGAACCGCGACAACGCCTTCCAGCTCAAGAACATGAAGGGCCGCTCCGAGATCAGGGGCCACTCGCCGACGACGAGCGAAGAGGAGATCATGACGTACGACGGCATCATGCGCACGACCGAGGTGAACATTGTGTACGACGACAAGAGGGACTCAACGCCGAGGCCACCGCCGGCCGGGGGCAGGACGCCGCTACCACCGATGGATAGGGGCCCCGGGAGGAGTCATTACGATACCAAGCTCTACTCGACCAACAGCTCAGAGAGTTTCTGAGAGAGGCCCGGGGGAGGATGGGAGCGGGTTTCTCCCCCTTGTCCTTGGGTCGCTTGTTTTTTGCCATGATGATGATTGCATTGTAGTACAATATAGATTAAAGATGCCTCACGCGCACACACACTGCGAAAACAAAATCGATTTTTCCCGTTTCTTGCTCTCTGCCTCTTCTTGGTGATGCTGCGGTTACGCTGGACGTGGAAGTCGGTCACGAGCCGCGGGGAGGGGATTCCCATGCATATAACGCCGTGTTATTGACCATTGCCGCTAAGAAAAGACGCTCGCTCGAGGGGACGGGGCCCAATGGCACCCAAGCACAGGGATAGGCAATATACTTGATACTTACTCCCCCACCGCATCATCGGGAGCGATTTAGATCACACCCGCCTTTATTCTTTCCGGCCTTGCGACATGGCCTGTACGCGTTCTCGAAACCTCGCCGGGGGTTGGTGGGCTTGGGTGGTGTTTCTTTCTAGCGTCCAAGGCAGGGCCAAGCGCGGGTGCGCCACAGTGGGCTGCGGTTGTTCTGGAAGGGGGCACAAAAATAAAATGCAACGGCACGAGGGAGGGAAGCAACGTCTGTGCAAGATGTGATGGAGTGAGAGAGCCGGCATCGGTGAAGAAGAGAGAACACCGGGCGGAATGTTTCCACAGGATACGCAAAAGACACGGGTTGATTTGGGTTTTGGATTCAAAGCGGGAGATGGACATTGGAGAACCGGGCCGTTGATGCAAGGTAATTTGCCAACGGTGGACACAAGCGATCCCATCTCTTGGCGGAGAACGCCGTGCCGGTGGATGAAGGAGATGGGAAGAATGCTGTCTCGTTATTGCGCATGCCGTCCGGGCCATGGCACGGCACCGGACGGAAGATCGAGATGCGGTTTCAGAGCATTTCCTCGGTGTAATCTGGCTTCATCAGAACTCACGTCGGAGGGGAGATTGGGTCGGGGAATTACTTGCGCCGTAGAGCGTGCCGGCGGCTGCTGCTCCCGATGACTTCCATCGAAAGTTCGGCAGTGAGCCCTTTGCTTCAGGTCTTCCGGAGGGTCTCGTCCAGTTGCTAGCGGCGAGTTCCGCCGCGCAAGCTTTGCTCGAGGAGACGACAATCTTATTAATCGGTCTGCTTGCTAGTGTAAGGGCAGCTCTCCCTGTCCATGTCTTGAGACGCGCCGGTGGGAAGGGCTAGTCTGGGGCACGATGGCGCGAGAATCGGGTGCTGCAACGTCGAGGTGCTCTGGCGGACGATCTGGTGTTATCTGGATGCCCGGGCTATATGATACATAACGTGGTTATCAACATGTCAAAAGGGTTTGCCGCTGTCTGGGTATGATCACCATCGTGCTGACGTCTCGTGAGGCGAGATGTTGCTTACGCAACGCTCGAGGCCCGTTAGCTCGACTGATCCGTCTGGCCGGAAGGTGGGCAGCGTGTAGCATTGGCTAATGTCTTGTCAAAGCCATGTTAAAGGCGCGCGGCCCAAGCATGGCGGTCCAGTGTCGTTGAGGGTTGTTCATGACTCGGGAGGGTTTTGCTCGAGAATTTTCGACAATTTCACTCCTGAAAAGCCAAGGGTCTGGGCAAAACTAGCGGTTTGCGAGCCAACGAGTGCCGTGCTCTCTTGCTCGCTGAAGATTTCGCTTCCGGTACATGGTGAGCCGGCGTCGAATTGGCTCAATTCCAGAGGATCGACGTTCTGCCCTTGAGTTCCGCAACATGCGGAGGCATGCTGCCAACTTCGGGGCAGCTTGAGAGTTGCTTCTGGTCTAGTTTTCTTGCCAGGTGAGCCCGGGCTGTTGCGGCGCCGAAGCCTTCGGAGGGACCCGTGGATACGTCGTCAACCAGTTCGTCTGAAGATATTGCAAAGTTGACCTGTGAGGCTTCGGGGTCCTGGTTTCGAGAGAAACAGGGAGGTCACAGGTAACGCTGTCTCTATGCATTGTGTGAAGATGATGTAATTATCCGGCACACCGTCCAATTGAGTTGTCGCAGGTGAAGGAAACCCCCCACCGCGGGGTAGCTGAGGGGCAGCTAGAGCTTTCTAGCATCGCCAGAGCGAGAGCATAACGCGACGAACAAAGCGTTAGCAGTTCACCAACTTAAATCGCGTTGTTACTTTTGACTTTATTTGGGACTCTGATCGGAGCCTTGATACACGAAATGGCTGGAAAGGACGTCGTTGTGACTGGCGCGACCGGCCTCCTGGGACGCCAGGTCGCTAGAGCTTTCGACCGCAAAAGCTGGAATGTCAAGGGCACGGGATACTCTCGCGCAGACAACGTGTCGGTGTTCAAGGTCGATCTGGGAAGCCCTGCCGGAGTTGAGAAGTTTCTCGAGGAGTCCAAGTAGGTCGGCCTGCGCTCTTGATTTATGGGCAGCTGGAGCTAATGCCTCTCTCAGGCCTCGAGTAGTTGTGCACTGTGTGTCAACCCATATCTAAACTTGCTTCATGTGCATCGAATCGCTCATCAATCGTTCAAAATAGGTGCGGCTCAGCGATATCCTGACAAGGTGGACAGCGACCCCGACGCCGCCAGAGCACTCAATGTTGCCGCCACCAAGTCACTCGCCAGCCTTTGTGCTGCTCGGGGCATCTTCCTCATCTACATTTCCACCGACTACGTCTTCTCTGGAAAGCCTGGAGAGGCCCCCTACGAGAATGACGCCCAGACTGGCCCTACGAACTTGTACGGCCAGACCAAGCTGGATGGAGAGCATGCTATGCTAGAGGAGTACAAGCAGGCCGGCCGCGAAGGTCTCGGTGTCGTCCTGCGCGTACCGGTCCTATACGGTCAGGCAGAAACGCCTGCCGAGAGTGCCACCAACATCCTCTTGGACACTCTGTGGAAGACGCAGGACGGGCAGTCAAAGGTGAAGATGGACCACTGGGCCATCCGATACCCCACCAACACTGAAGATGTTGGTCGCGTGTGCCATGGTAAGCGCACTCTCTCATAGTCCCAGAAGCAGAGTTGACGGTGGATCAGATATTGCTATCAAGTACACGGAGGCCGACGACCGTAGCTCGTTCCCCAAGATCCTCCAGTTCTCCAGCGAGGACAGAATGACCAAGTACGAGATCTGCCAGACGTTTGCCGAGATCATGGACTTGTCGATGGACGGCATCATTGCGAACACGGAGGGCAACGACCCCAATGCTAGTGTGCAGCGTCCGTACGACTGCCACCTTAGCACCAAAGCGCTCAAGGACCTAGGCATCGACGTATCGACAAGCGACTTTATTGGATGGTGGAGACGCGAGGTGCACGCTTTCCGACATTAGTCTGGATCAGCCCCTTGCACGAACTGCATCGGCGAACTTGGACATATGGGAAGTTATGGGCTGACAGATGGGCGGCGGAGCTGTGTAGAAGATGCCACTCTGCTCACAGGTTGTGATGAAGTTCCTCTGCCGCTCTTGGCGCTGGACAGGTAGCGTAAGATGCATTGGGCACACGTGATAGCGATGGCTGTTGTTGATCTAGAAAATCGGTCCGCAAGTCAGGATGCTTCGTCAAAGCATCAGGGGGGAAAGAAGGGACAGAGACAGGGACGCTCAGATGGGTCTCAGGAACAGGTTCATTCCACAATACGAATCCGTCTCTGACACTGAAATGCATACAGTGGTCCCTGCACGAGCGCGTCGCCTGTTCGCGGAAGTGTAAACACGACACATCCCAGACGGCGTTCAGGGCTGGACTTGGAATGCATCGTGGAGAGAAGTGTGATGACACAATAGCCCAGGCAAATTGGACATGAGCGATTGGCATCTGGCTCACGGGGCGCAGTTGCACCTCATTGTGCTGCGTGCCGGTGGACGCGTCTTGTGAAGAGGTGGCCCTTTTTTCTCAAATGTCTCTTGGGTGTCTCACCATGCCTATCGGCGGGAGGTGGAGTTTTAATTGCAAGAGTCGTAAAAAAGCCTCCCTTGGTACCCCGTTCTTGACGGACCCGACTTATGGGAAGGAAGGTCTCGCCACTTTCCTTTTTTCCTTTGGTAAATTTTGCTCTCTCTTTTGCTTCCCTCTCAGACCCGAGTTTACAGGTAATTTTCACCCCTGCGCTGTGTCAATTATTGCCGGTGGGCGGCAGCGAGAGCAGCGACAACTACGACGACGTTTAATTATCTCCTTGCTTCGTTTTTCCATGGTTACACCAATTGGCAATTACGCTTAATTGATACCGGACGGCGTCAGAGTGTCTGAGCGAATACCCGAAGAAGGGACTGCACAAAGGAAAAGAGAAAAGAAAGAAAATTAAGGTCATCTCAATCTGCTGGATCGTTATCAATCACTTGCATGATCTGCAGGGTCCTGGGGGAGGACTGCATCCGGACGCAAGATAACGTTCAGCAGTTCCCTGCTGGGCTGGGGAGATCATCTCCAGCTCCGGCTCCGAGGTCCCAGCGGACTGGGCCGCTGCCGCTTGCGCTATCCGCAACCTACCTACCGCTGCCATCGACGCCATCCATATCGGACGAGAAAATCCGGGGGATTGACAGAGTAGCCCTATCGTCTATCGGATCGATCTCTTCAGACAGACGAGAGAGTAAGGGGTCGGGTCGTCATCGTCGTTTGATTGTTCAGGGAGGCATTCGAATCCTTTGGTCTCCTCTTCGACCGAGAAACAAATCCTTACAAGTACAGAGAGGTATTAATAAATAATTAGCGCAATGGAAGCTGCTGGAGGCGGGCTGCATCCGCGTATTAGTCGGACCATGTCGGCAGGGCCAGGACCACCCAAATCGCCAGCTCCGCATCCACCACGACGGGGACACAGCGTTACCGCCGGACGGCTGACCAGGTACAGGAACCTGCGGGAGCACAAGAGCGTGCTGGACTTTGGCCGAGACTGGAGGGACTGGGACGTGGACATTTTTCAGGATGACGACACTGTGTCGAGTGCCACGACGGAAACGGGCACCGCGACAAGCATTGGCATTTGTATCGGGATCGCCGTCGATGATGAGCAGCAGACGACAGAACAGCAGCAACTGGCGACGGCAGCGGCACGAACACCAGCGAGGAATACGCCGCAGCAGCAGCAGCGCGGCCAGACGACGCCCTCTTCCGCGGCAAGACGGCGGACGGCACCGGCACTCACGCTCCAACCACCGCCGCAGACCCCGCTGCAGTTGTCGCGCCCACAGTCGCATTGGCAGTGGCCCGATGTTGGTGTTGGTGTTGGTTTTGGTGCATTTGAAGACGACGACGACGACGACGGGGCATCCCCCTCCTTTCTCGGACGCGGCACCGCCAGCTGCTACTATGCTTCGAGGTCTAACCTGAACGATTACCACCCGTATTCTTCTAGCACGGAAGCAGCAGAAGCAAGCGTCACAGCGCCGCCGTGTCCCGAGTCTCCTGTGCGGTTCAGCTACCCCAACAGACGGCGGCCAAAAACAGCCCCCAATGCGGCCGAGAGCCCCTTGCAGGGGGGTTCGCCCAGCACCCCAAGCGAACCGGGTTCCTTATTTTCCTTAGCGCGCTCCAGTTCCGGGTCCAGGACCCCAGCCCCAGGGGTTTCCTGCACCCACCAGGCCATTCAGACGAGTGCCCAGCGTCCGCCTGCCCCATCTGCAGGATCAGCGTTATTATTGCCAGCGTCAGCTGCTGATGCGGCAGCGGCACCGTCACCCCTTCTCCAAGCACTCGCTCTCGGCCAGGTACCTGGTGCTGCTTTGCCTTTAGGAGAAGGACCATCGCCTGCAGGATCAGCAGCAGCAGCACCACCACCAACTGCACCACCGCCGAATGTACCACCGCCTCCTCCTCCGAATTTCCTGCCGCCTCCTCTTCCGTTAACCGCAAGGGCAGCACGCGACTCTCTGCCGCCTCCTTTACCCCAGCTGAGGCCTCGCTCACACAACCCGATCCTCGTTTCCAACTCCTCGTCATGCGCCGACCTCAAGCTCTCTGCACGAGCTGACCACGCCCGCTCCCAAATCATCACCAAACTCAACCTCCACCCCGTACCCAGCAGAGAACAGCTCAGAGACGCAGAGTGGGAGAAGCACCGCCAGCAGCAACAGCAGCTCCAACAGCAGATTGAACAGGAGGAGGAAAACGATCGCCGGCGCAAGGACCAGGAACAGGAGGAGGCCACCCGCTGGGCCGAAGAAGTCGCCCGTCTCGAAGCAGAGACTGATCGCATCTTGGCAGAACAGAAGAGGAAGGATCTCGCAAGACTTCAGGCTCAATTAGCCGCTGTTCCCGACCCCCCGCCCCGACGATCCCCCATCGTCAACAAGTTCGCCTTCTTTCTTAGAAAAAGTCGCAAGTCCGACTCTGCTACGCTCACAAAGTCCCCTCCCACATACTTTCAGCCACTTTCGCTCGATTGCCGGCCAGTCAGCGTCATGGATCCCACACGCTTCATTCAGGCCGGTGGAGGCGGCATCGTCCCCCAGACCGATGCCCCCATCACAGCCAGCAATGCCGGCGAACGTGTGAGTTGAACGAGTCGTTCGTACTGTCCCATGCGCCTCTGCTAACACCTCGCCCAGCGAGTGACAATTCGATGCATGCAGTCGTCCATCAGCCTGCCCGTCACCCCCGAGACGACTCCCATGGAAATCTTATATTCGGCCGCCAACCTCATGACCCAGAACATCAACCCGCAAACCAGCATTGTCATGGAGTGCTACTTCGCTTTTGGCCTGGAGCGTCGGCTTAGGCGATATGAGAGGGTGAGAGATGTCTTGAACTCATGGGACCGTGACAGCCAGCATTGCCTTCTCATCATCCCTGGAGACTCTGTCGACAAGAACCCCGATCTAAACGTCGAGGTCGTGCCCCGCACTATCGACCCCCCGGCCGGTCTGATCAACTTTTTGATGTACCACTCTTCGCGACCCGGGAAATGGAATAAACGGTACATCACTCTCAAAGAGGATGGGCAGGTGTTTTCCGCCAAGAAGAAGGACGCCAAGGTCTCGGACAAGGATTCGCTTTCACTGTGTCATCTTTCGGATTTTGACCTCTACTCAGTCACAGAGAAGGACATGTTGAAGCAAATCAGAGCACCCAAGAAGAACACATTTGCCGTCAAGAGTCAGCAAAAGTCCAGCGTTTTCCAAAACACCGAAAACTTTATCCACTTCTTCTCGACCGATGACGCTAGACTCGCTGAGGACTTTAAGAGAGTCCTGCACTCATGGCGCAGTTGGTATCTGGTCAACAAGAAGGTTGATTTGAGCAAGCCAAAGAAGACATCGCGCAGCCCGAACGAGAAGCCCTCGAGTGGTCTCGCCAGAAGCGGGACCCTGCACCGACTCAAAGTATCGGTAGACGAGACTCCATACACGATTGGAACATTCTCTCCGCTCCTGGATATGGAAAAGCTCGAAAAGTCCATTGACGATATTGGCAGGGAGCCTGAGAAGCACTCGATGCAGCCGGCAGAGCAGCTCTCTGTTCCGAAGCAGCAAAAGGTCGTCTCTCGTTCAAGGACCACGCCCAACCTTGCTTCTCCGATGCCGAAGAAGCATATCGATCCATTTGCCAGGGACCAGGAATTCAGGAACAGTGGCTTGCTGGGGCGCGCGTATGAAGGACGAAAGCAGCAGGCTGAGAAGAACGCGGCAGCTGCAGCTCACGAAGATCTCTCGCCCGACAGCCCTTTTACTGGAGGGCTGCTCACCAACTACCCAGAGCCTGAGATGCAGACGTCCGGGCAGCTGAGCGGGATGCCCGCGAGAAGAGGTACGGTGCGCACATCCCGGTCGGCCGTGGAACCCATGGCCCAACCCCGAAGCCGGTCCCGCCCTCCCGTCGCTCGTCCAACTACGTCAGCACGCCCGACAACATCGGACGGACCGTCCCAGAGGAAGCCAGGGATGCCTCAGCCTCTGGTCGACCTAACACCCAAGGTCCCAGACTTGCCTGCCGCTTGGCGTGAGGGTCACGGCCGTGGAATTAAGGCGCCAACAGGCACGCCTTTGATTCAGATGGCTACGGGCTGGGAAAACTCGCCGGATACCACAATGGCACCGCAACTGCCAACCGTAACTCGCATGGGTACGACCAAGGCGTACCCGCCTCAGCGCATGGCTTCGCAGTCGGCGGCCTCAAGACCAAGGAGTCGCTCGACGGCTGGTGGCGCACCCGTCCGCCGAGTCGTGTCCAACGAGCAACCACCCATACCGTCGATGCCGAGACGGACTTCGCGACAAAATGACGAGGACGTGCCGCTGATCAATTTCGTCGAGCGCGAGCGAGGTCGCGACGCGAGACCCCGCGCCTCGCAGGGCCTTGGTCGGAGTGGCACTGTCAGACATTGACCGTTGCCATTTGATAACAATGGCTTGTCTCAACCTTGTCTCAGACGGAGAATGACGCCAAAGAGAAAGAAAAAACCCGAAGTTGAAAAGAAAAGGAAAAACAAGGTCAAGAGCTGCATAATGGCCCGTGAGTTCACAGAAGAGAAGGTCTCGGGGGAAGAGACGAGTAATGGGCCCTGAGTAAGCCGTGCACGCAAGATTTGGCGTATGGGTGATTTAGCTTGTAAGATACCCGGTTGTTGACTTTTGCGTCACACAGCACAAAAATAGGGGGACAGATGTCAAGTCGGTGATGTATCTGGACAGGAAATCTTCTTTGTTTACTTAATATGGCCATGTATGAATCTAACGGTCTATTATCGTCGTCATCAGTTCAATTGGACTCAGGTATCTTTCTTTTGTCTTCAATGCCAATGCCGCGCGCCACATTAAGGTGTTTTTATCTCTCTTCAACTCGTTCGATTCGTTGTTTTCCGCTAGCGTGTCGCATGCGCATGCGTGCGCGCGCTCAGTTTACTTGCTGCGCTTGTAGATCTTGGCCAGGAAGGCCTCGAAGATGCCCTTCTTGAGGCCCTCGCTCTCGTCAATGTTGTTGATCATGTCCTTGATCTCGGTGGCGCGCTTCTCCTCAAACTCCTCGAAGCGCTCCTTGAGCTTCATGTCGTCGTAGAGCTTCTTGATGATGGCCTCCTTCTCCTTGTCCTTCTGGCCGTAGTTCTCCTCGAGGATCTGGCGCTGCTCGGGGGTGGCGAGCTGCAGGGCCTGGTTGACGAGCCAGCTGCACTTGTTGTCCTGGATGTCGGTGCCGATCTTGCCAATGTGCTCGGGCAGGCCAAAGTTGTCGAGGTAGTCGTCCTGGATCTGGAAGTACTCGCCGAGGGGGATGAGGATGTCCTCGGCCTGCTTGAGGTTCTTGGGGGTGGCGATGTTGAGGCAGTGGAGGGCGAGGGCGACGGGGAGGTAGAAGGAGTAGTAGGCGGTCTTGTAGATGACGATGAAGCGGTACTTCTCCATGGAGAAGTTGTCGAGGTTAACCTGCTCCTCGGGGGCGGTGAGGAGGTCGCAGAGCTGGCCGAGCTCGGTCTGGAAGGTGACCTCGTGGAAGAGCTCGATGAGGTCGACGTAGGAGGCGTGCTCACGGAAGAAGCGCTTGAGGAGGGTGTAGATGGCGGCCTCGAGCATGAAGGAGTCGTTGATGGCGATGTTGCCGACGCCCTCATGGCGGTACCAGCAGGGCTTGCCGCGGCGGGTGATGGAGCCGTCCATCATGTCGTCCGAGACGAGGAAGAAGGCCTGAAGGAGCTCCGTCATCCAGCCAAGGGTGGCGGCCTGGAAGTATTCCTCCTCAGAGAGAGGCTTGCCGAGCAGGAGGGAGACGGAGTCGGGAACGGACATGCCGCGGTTGCATTTTCCGCCGAGGGTGTTGACTTCGAGGGACTGTATAGCTCCGGGGCGGAGTCAATTGTCAATTGATATGATCTTATTTCCTTTCTGCAGACAAGCGCAGTGTCTCAACTGCCATCACCGATCTCGGTGGTGGTGTTGGTGGTAGTGGTGTCAGCTTGCCTTCTTGTACCACAACAGCTCCTCCTTGGGGAGCTTGTACTTTTGCGCATGCTCGACGAGTACCTCCTCGAGCTTGGGGAAGACGGACTCGAACTCGGCGAGGGTGGTTTTCTTGGCCATCTTGACGGTTTCTGGAATGGTGCGGAGCTATGGATCGGGACGAGGCTTGTTGAGGCGTTTTCGTGGTCAGCTTTCCAACGGTCGCGCGAGGTATCAGAGGATGGGTTGGGTTAAGAAGTGCAAGGCCGAAGCAGACTTTCTGTCTTCCCGATAGGCAAAATAAAAAAGGGGGCCCTGGTGCCTGGTGGGACGTGGAGGACTTACAATGGGTGACCGGGGCGTAAGCAAAAGTGAGGGTGAGCGGGTGAAGTAGGCAGGGGGAGATTTTGTTTGCGCGGGGCGGTTGATCGCAAATTAATGCGCCGGGCGTGTAAATTGTTGTACCTACATGTGGTAAAAGTGCGGGCAATCAAGTGAATTGGTACCAACGGCTCAGCTTGCACCACCACCACCAATGCGACCCCTCATCCGATCTTCATTTTGTTCGATTCAGGCAGGCGGTGGAGGGGTACTTTGGACCGGTGTGCGGTGAGGCAGTCGCTGCGGCTGGCAAAGTTGCAGTTCCCGGGCGTGGTGGGGCTGGCACTCGGGATGACAGGCGCCCTGGGCGTCCTGATCAGGTCCCTTGCCCAGTGGCTGTTGCTCCCTGGAAGTGGAGGGGCAGAGGCGGTCAGTGTCACTAAACTGACAGTCGTCGCGCCCAGCAAGCGCGTTGTGGATGTTGACTTCCATCGCCAAGTGGATAACGCCTTTTCTGCCGTTAAGCCTTACTACGTCAGGTCAAATAAACACAACCCGTACATTTCGACAGCTCCAGCGTCCTTCAACCCCCTTCGACGGCAACAAACTCTCCGGTTCCTCCTCGTATGCGCGGCCCAGACTGTGTCTAGAAACGTAAGCGCAACATCGGATAACGGGACCAATTGGGGCATCTTTAGCCGCGTTTTTTGAGGCCTTCACCCTTGCCCATCGCGCGCGACATTGCTGTACACACACACGAACGAAACAGCGACCCCCCGCCGAGGATGCGCAGAGATGTCGCTCAACGAGCATGACCTATCGCAGCTCCGCGCTTCGCTCCAAGATGCCGTCGTGAAGTGCTCCGAGCGGTGCCTCTACTCGTCTGCGAAATGGCAAGCTCTCTCCCTGCTGCCGTCCGAGGCGACCCCTGCAAGAGCTTGTAGCTAACGTTGCTCCTGTTCCCAGGGCGGCAGAGCTCCTCAATTCCATACCCGAGACCTCGACCGATGCCGACGTCGCCGATGCCGATGGGCAATATGTCCCGACCGTCTTCACGCCCAACGCCGATCCCGAGGAGGCTCTGCTTGAGGCCAGGGAGATTAACAAGTACCTGCTGGCCAAGGCGCTGTTCGACTCGAGGGAATTTGACCGCTGCGCCGCGGTATTCCTTCCGGATGCTGTGCTTTCGGGCATGATGAACGCCAAGGCTGAGGGGACGCCGAAGGGAAAGGGAAAGACAAGAGAAGACAAGGCGTTCAGCAGCACCGAGGTCCCGAGGTTGAGCCAGAAGAGCTTGTTCCTTGCGCTGTATGCAAAGGTCATGTCCGGGGAGAAGCGCAAGGACGAAGACTCCGAGATGGTGATGGGACCGCAGGATCTGGGCAACGTGGTCAACAAGCAGCTGAATGCTGTCAGCCGGTTTCTCAGCAATTGGTTCGACGAGAGGACAACGGATGACGGGGAGGTGCTTGGAAGCCAGGGCTGGCTGGAATACCTGTGAGTGTGACCGCGTTGATGGTTCGGACGAGTGCTGACTGGAGTAGGTATGGAATGGTGCTTGCCAAGGAGAAGAACGAGGATAAGGCCATGGACTTCTTCATTCGCAGTGTCCATCTGTATCCCATGAACTGGGGCTGCTGGCTCGAGATGACCTCGCTGATTTCACGGCTCGACGACGTAGGTCCCGGATGTGCACTTGAACTTGAACTTTCATGCTAACTGGTGCTAGTTGAGTCGTATATCAGCTCATCTTCCTCAAAACATCGTCTCCTTTATTTTTCATCTCCACACGTCCCTCGAGCTATACCAGCAAAGTCCCGAGCTCGCAAACTCTCTGGACCAGCTGCTGAACATCTTCCCGACCTCGTCATTCCTAATCACATGCAATGCCCTCCTTTCATATCACGCCAAAGATCTTGTGGCAGCCGAGCAACATTTTAGTCGACTGTTATCACTGCACCCTCACAGATTGGATTCGCTGGATCACTATTCCAATATCCTCTATGTCATGAACATGAGACCGAAGCTTGCGTTCCTGGCACATTTGTGTTCCAGCATCGACAAGTTCCGTCCAGAGTCCTGTGTAGTAGTGGGCAACTACTACTCACTGCTCTCAATGCACGAGAAAGCAGTACAGTACTTCCGTCGAGCCCTTACACTTGACCGTACTTGCCTGTCTGCATGGACGCTCATGGGCCATGAGTATGTGGAGCTGAAGAACACCCATGCAGCGATCGAATCATACCGACGCGCAGTCGATGTCAACCGCCGGGACTACCGAGCTTGGTACGGCCTCGGGCAGACGTACGAGATGCTCGAGATGCACACCTATAGTTTGTGGTACTACAAAAAGGCGGCTGGACTCAGGCCCTGGGACGGCAAGATGTGGATGGCGGTCGGCTCTTGTCTACAAAAGATGGGACGCGATCAGGACGGCATCAAGGCTCTGAAGAGAGCCCTGCTCGCGGACGCCTATTACGATGTTGGAAGCAGCTTCGGCAGTGGAGGAGACTTACTCAGCGGCCGGGGTGCCACGGGACAATTGGACACAGAGGTGCTCTACCAGATTGCGATGATGTATGACCAGCTAGGCGAGCTCGAGGAGGCTAAAGCGTACATGGAGCTGTGTCTCGCGCAAGAGGGCGGTGAGGCCGCTGCAGAGAACAATCTGGGTGATTCGATTGCTATTCACAACGACTCTCCCGGCGCTTCTGATGACGAAGGCAACGGAGAGGGCCACGGAGCAGGCGGACATGAGGGAACGGGCGTCACTGCCTCGACGAGCAGGGCGCGGATGTGGCTGGCAAAGCATGCCATGGCAAGCCATGACTTTATGACGGCCAATCGGCTTGCCACGGAGCTCACCCAGGACGGGTACGAGGTTGAGGAGGCGAAGGGCTTGGTCAGGGAAGCAAAGGCGAGGCTACGTAATGCGGGAGTAGGTCTTAGCCCATGACCTTGTCATTGATCATGGCAAAAAGAACCACACGGGTTGCGAGGTCTCTGTCCCACTCAATCCCGCGGGATGTCTGCAGTTTAGACGATGTCACGGTCAGACAATGAGGCGTCTGAGAGAAGAGAGAGCATTGAGCTCTCATGTATGTCTTATGCTCGAGTACAATGCAACTGAGATACCACGTTCTCGAGGCTTCCTTCTCCCCTGGCTTCATTGCGCCTAATGTGCCACCTATGATCGTCGCAGTGGGCCTATGCAACACCGCAGAATCCCTGGAACCGGCGTTTTCCCACTGTTCCCTCACCTTATTCGGCCCTGCGAAGAGATGAACGTGGCGATCCTCGACGTTTAGAGACGTGGATATGCAACGTTTCCGCCGCCCACAGCAAAAGTCAAGCAGGTAGTGGAAAACTTCTTCACGCAGTAGCAGACGGATAAACCAAAAGGCTCCAAATGAACGTTGGCGGAGGCTTGGCGGAGAAAAGATCAAGTGACGCAGATACGAGATTCTGCAGGTCCTTTTCTCCGCTATCTGGCGATGATTGAGCGAGCGCTTCTCCCATGGAGGCTCAATCCCTGCTAGGCGAATGAAGTGCGGTGCGGTCTAAGGTCCCGCGAACCACGTGCTTGGCTCGTGGCAGGGTTTGGAGGACGCCAACACCGTTTTTGGAGACTGGACTACCGTTCTTTGGAATGGACGGGGAACTGGGGGGGTTTCAACACCCAACCCAGCACTAGGTCTTAGACCGGGTAGTCTATCTACCTACCTTGGGTTGCGGTGCTGGGAGAAGGCTATGAATGAAGAGGGGCCTTGAGTCTGTCGAAGATGATGTGTTTGTGAGGCGGGGCTGGGGTTGGTTTGTTGGCGGAATACGAGGTGCATCAGGCATCGTCACTGCATCTCGTCTCTTTAGGCTGAGTTAATTGTGGTTAGTTTGTCAACTTTGTGAACGTCGGCGGCACAGCAAAGCTTTTTCCCCCCTTGCACCGTTCAGGCTGAGAGGGAGGGGGGCGGTCGAGGGATATATGCGTGTCAGCTGCGAGAGAAGAGAAATATTGATTCTTGGCGAGGGGGGGCAGGTGAGGTTTAGATAAGGTCCCATAAGCGGGTGTGGACGATCTGTTTGCTTGACCAGACGCCACCGCCAAACGAAGCAGTGCTTTCCTTCGCTGGGGGCTTTTCTGGTGAAGGAGCGTGATCGCGAGGCTTGTTGCCCGCTATTATTGTATGTGTATGTGTGTGTGTACTAAGTAAGGACTGTCCTGTCCCGTATGGCGAAACTCCGCACTCCGCTTGACTCCAGAAGAATCAAACCCGTTCCAACGATGATTCCTGCGAAACTAAAGACTAGCTGTATCCCGCGAAATCAAAATGCCATATGGTATCATGTAGTGTTGTACATCCCGGTAGTTTCCCCTCCCCCAAGCTTTTTTCTGCCGGCCCATGAAGGAAAGTGTAGAATGGAACAAGAAAGGTCTCAACTAAGCCTGATGGCCCTCGTGTGTCAAGACGTGGTTTCCCCCGATGATGGGGAATTAGGAATTAAGTAAGAGAACATTAGATGAGCAGAGCAAAGAGACCCGCGAGGGCGACCGCGCCGAGGCCGGCGCCGAGATGCTCCGCTCCGCTGCCGGGAACGGTGACGGGGCGTGTAGTCGTGGGGCCCACGGGGGTGTTTGTGGGCGGCGAGTCTGGCTTCGTGGTGGTGAGCTGGGGCGGTGCGACGGGGGTTACGCCGGCGAGGGTCGTCTCCGCGGGAGGGGTAACGACGATGACGGTCGTGGAGGTGGTGCCGTTGTGGTGAGGGGGCTTGGGCGAGTGGCTGTGAGGAGGCTTAGGGGTGTGCGTGAGGATGGTAGTGTTGTGGTAGGTTGGATGAGGGGGCTTGGGGGTCTTTGTGCTGGTTACGATGGTCGTTTGGTCGGGCGGGCAGGAGGTCGTGGTCGTGTTTGCGTGAGGAGGGGGAGGGGGGAGGGTCTTTGTCGTCGTGTAAGGGGGTGGTTGGTGAGTTGTGATGGTGCAGGGGCAGTCTAGAGGGTGTTAGTCGAGGTTGTAAGAGGAGAGATGGGAGCGACGTACTGGTGATCGTGAGAGTCGTTGCGGTCGTTACGGTGTAAGTCACATTATGGTGGACAAACGTTGTAGGAGACTATCCGCTGTTAGTTGAATCATATCATCGTGAGTGAGACGAATGGGACTCACAGGGCAATACGTCTCGTAGGCCGTAGTGACGATCGTGGTGTAGGAAGTGTGGATGTCAGTCCCCCAGGCATTGGCGACGGCGAAGAACCCAGCGGCGGGCGCGAGTATCTGCATGGACTTCATGTTGACGTAGCGAGTGGCTGCTGAACGAGAGTGAGTTGCCAAAGGCACGCTTAAGCAAACGCTGCTGGTCGGTAGTTGCTCGGTGATGCTGATTGTGATTTGGAGACAAGAACCAGCCAAGCCGGGGAGCTCGCTCGCCTTATGTATCACAACGGACGCCGGCGAGAATCATCGCGAAGGCTGGTTCAGCTCGTCTGCCCTTGCAGACTGAAGCTTACAGATCCCCCGGTCGTTTGCCTCGCCCCAGATCTTAGGTCGGGCGCGCCGGTCCTGACCCCTCCATGCCGAATTCGTGATCTTTTACCCCAGGAGGCCGCGATAACGATACGGAGCGTGGTGATGACTGTACGCACCTTGCAGGCAGTATGCAGTCGTGCCAGATGGAGGCCAGGTGCGGGAGGATGTGACTCTGCGGTTGACGGCCAGATACGAGGCGGCCTTCGTTCTGACAGGTGCTGACGGTTCTGGTGTTTTCCATTTTGGAGTTGACGCCATTCTGGAGGCTCCTTTCGATTGGACCGGCAACTTTATCGATTTCGTTTTGGGCAAGTGTCAGAACGGCGGCAGGGGTTAGATGGCGTCGCTCGTGTTGAGGCCACAACGTTGCCATGGCCCGGAGGCATTTTAGCAAAAGACCACGAGAACTCGACAGTCGTCAGGGCCGACAGAAAACAGAACAATTCGTCGCGGATTTCCGCAGGGCGATGGATAATTGTACGGTGTTACTCAACGACGCTCGTGTCCGTGAAGCGACAAGTCTCCGGCGTCGGGTCACTTGACTGGACGCTGGCAAAGAAACCAAGGCTGTCGCTTAAGGAATGCTTTGGGACCAAGAATACCGCCAGATTGGGCAAAGGGCGAAGGTAAGACTTCGTGTTCGGCGCTTTTCGACCCATGAGCCTCGGGCAGTGCGGGGTGACCAACAGGTTGCGCCACTGCGCTGCTTATGAATGAGAATAAAAGCAGGCTGTCAGCAGCCAGTGTTGAAATAAGCAGCGTTGCTGTAAGGGACATCGTCGACGAAGTTCGAGCATTTGTAAATCGCCGTCCAAGACACTTGACTTGATTGTTCCGTACTTTCGGAACATGTTTTCATGTCACAACATGTCTCAAGCTCGTGCGGCGACAAGGTCAACAACGTTTCGGGACAGAGACTTCTCTGCACCTTGCGAATGGATAATAAAAGAAGTGGAAAGTACGGCTCGTGGGAGAAGCAGACCAGGCTCCCAAAGAGCTTGAGCAGACGCACTTCATCCCCAACATATGCTCAACCATGTGTAGCAACATGTCCAAGATGTGATATTGAGATGATCTCTGCTGACACTGCAGCACAACTGCAGCTTAGCATGTGACATCTCGCCCCAATAAGGATCGATAGGCTTATCTTTGTGCCTTGCGTGACCCTGACAGCTTCATTCGACCACTGCAGTTGAGCAGTTCACCGAGGTCGGCGAGCCGTTATTTGCCATTTCTGGGCAAAGCGATTAGATCAGCCCAGGACCGGTAACCGGACGAACGTCCCGACCGATGGCGGTTTCTCTAGCGAGGCCGCTCAGCTGTCAGCCCGGAGCGGGAAAAGCGCTCTCGTCTTCCATCCCAGCGGCTCCAAGGTCTGTAAGTGCCCACCGGCACGAGGTTCAGCCCCAGATATGTCAATGCCTCGATCGATCAGCCGTCACAGGCCCGGGAGAACCCCGCTGGAACATAGTGATGGATATGCGGGGGCTTTTCTGCTCAGCTCTGGAGTTAATGCTCAAGGTTCTTGGATCTTGGTTCTCTGAGAGTTGATCAATATGTCGTCAATGCTCCGTGCCCCTCGCGAAGCATCCGAATCGATCGGCAAGCGACGGAGAACCTCCGGACTGACCTCGGGCGAAAAGCTTTTTACTGCGCAGGTTGCGATGACGGTGGCGTTGGTGCCATGGTGGGCAACCGGCAAAAATGGCCAAGGTCGTGACAGGTTTTTCACATGATTTTCGTCTTGCCATCGTCTCAAGCTCAACTTGTTGGGCGGAACACTGGTTTCCGTGGTGGGAATATGTCGTCTGTAAAGAGGAGGCACATGTTGGAGATGACGGTGAATGGCGGGGTGCCAATGGATATGATGAGGTCAGGAGCTGTCACGAACCTCCGCAACCGTTCGCAGAGTGCCAGTTTACAACCTTCTGTGACGCTGGTGACGGTTCTGGGGCCAACTCAAAAGCCAGTTTGGCAAGGCCATGTTGCGGCGTTCCACTGCTGAATGCAACGGCGGTCCGGTGGAGGAGGAAGAGCGGTTCTGTTGAGAAGGTGTGAGGGAATTCCACTTCCTCCAGCCAACACTTCAGCCAGTGACAACAGCTGCTGATGAATCAATGACAAGCGAGCAAGTGCAGCCGCAAGAGGCAAGAGGCGAGAAGTCGTGGAAGAGGACGAAAAATTGGGACGCAGTGGAAGCGCAAGAAGTGTTCCCCGGCTTGAACCCCCTGTGAGTTTGTGATGTTGACGGAGAAGAGGACCTGGAGGCCCGCAGAGGCCCGCACCCCGTTCTCGAACGGACAGTCTTTCCGTTTGGAGCAGTCTTCGCGCCGGAGGGCAGATGCACCGTCCGTGGCCGTTTGGTTCCTGGTTTTTTCTTTCTTTTTGCTGGGCGACGGTTTGGGCCTGTGCTTGTGCCTGCGCAAGTCATGCACAACGGCCTTGTTCCGTCCGGAAAGTGAGTGATGATCAGTGGGTACCCGGCTATGGTCTCGACCGTCCCCGTCCCAATGATCATCGACGGGCCGCCAAGGAACACATGCGCATGCAACCACTTGCGACTGCCAACTGTGTGTGCCCGTCCCTGACGTACGGGTGCAGGTAGCAGTGACAGTGTACCTGAGGACGGGCAGGAAAACTTGGTTGAATACCATCCCAGGAGGAAAGCACATGTTTGATACAACGCAGCCTGGGGTTTCTGCTCGTCTGGCTCTAACCGACCGAGCTGACGGGCTGGGTGGCTGGTGATTGACAGCACATCTCTCACTCTAAATAATACCTTAGATTTGAGCTTGTAGATTCGAACCACGAACCTTGCAACTTCGCAAGGTTGCGAAGCCCATTGCGTTGCTCCGGTGAGGCGCAAGACTGGTCCATTCTTTTTGCGATTCGGCTTAGGATGTTGAGAACTCTGAGAGGCCTCTGAACATATTGATTATTCATTTGTATTCGTCCCAACTTAGCACATGGGGTGCACTCGGCGCAACTGAGGCGTCTGACTGCAAGGTCAGCGACGGGCTGACGGTGGCTCGGCCGTCCGCTCAATATGCAGCCTTCGGTCGAGATACCTACTAAGTCAGGAAGTACATGGGATGACTCAGGCAAAAAGAAAGAAAAAAATCCTTTTCAAAAATCCCTCGAAAACTCAGCGAGGCATCCACACCTGAGGTTCCAGGCCGTCGAGATGTGCAGGCACAGACACAGCTTGGGCGGCCGGCACTGGCAAACCGTAAATCAGGTCTGGATGCAAGCACAAAACTTGTTCCTGGCAGGGCAGTCGTCGGGCAGTGCCCGGGGAACTCCGCCCAGTACACTCAACAACGGCGCTGGTGGAAAATGTTATGGCGCCTGGTGTACTGATGCGAGGTCTTCTATCACGGCGGTAAGCTTGCCTTGTGCCTGTACCTCCTGGCTACAGTGCTCACCGCACCACGCACTCGGAATATGATCGACAGGCACAAGCCCACTCGTCCCCTTCCCAACATCCTATTCCCTCGTGTCTTGTTCCCAGAAACACAACCTTGGAGCTGCCCTCCAAAAGTTTGGCCAGTGTCTGGACAAGTGGTAAAGTACCGCGGTCCCAGGGCCGTGAGCTGGGAACCATCCTCCCCGATTCGCCCACCGAGGTCAGCGACCCAGTTCTTCCAGTTTTTTTCGCTGAAGTTTCTTTCCCCCTTCCCCTCTTTCTCCTCCGCAAGTACCTTTCTGCCAAGTGCCCCTTCCTTTCGTCGGTGACGAGTTGTCGAGGACGGGATGGAGTCTGCCAGGGAACAGAGAGGCATTTTCCGGGCTTCGTGGCATCGTCTGTGTCGCAGGAGGATTCGAACCGAGATGGATGTCCCTTCGCTGCCAGGTCACTCGGTTTGTTGGCGACATTACGGATACGCTGCCGTCCTTTCTTTTTTGCCTTCCCCGGCCACACGAGACCAGGTCTCTTTTCCTCTCTGTGCGTGTTCCCCTTTATCTGAGTCGACAGCAAGTCAGGCTGTCATCCAATGTTCAGAAGCCAGCCTCAGCAAACCTAACGAAGCGGCGCCATTTTGGCTGGCTGTCGTCTGTTGTTTGTTTTCCCCGCCCAATGTGTATCGCAGTAGTTGGCCGCGGCGGCTTCCAAGCAAAGCACTGTCGCCCGCATTTTCGCCACATTGATCGGCCAACTGGACCTGCGCAAGAAACCAGATGAACCAGCGCGACGGGAACTTGGGCCCTGTTTTCTACTGCCTTACTGCCTTGGCCTTCACCCAAGTGGCATAGGCCGCAGCACGCCAGCACGGCACTCCCGCACCCTCCCTTCCCATCTTCCGTGCCGGCTGCACTGTCCGGCCTTCCTCAGCGGTTCAGGGGGTGTCTTCTCGGTAGTGGCCGGCACATCTTTCCCATATCGTCGTGGCAGCCCGGCGCCTCGGCCAGGGGCAGCAGCCCTGGCCCTCTTTTCCAAGGACGGACTCAGGGAACTGGAACTCCTGCCATGCATGGGTCTTTCTATGGGGCCCTCGTCGGCTACGAATCATGAGCCGCGGTGCCGCGGCGCTAATTTGCGTGCTGGGCTGCCTCGAATCGCGCCTTTTTTTTTTTTTCGAGTACCTCGACAGAAGACGACGCAGGCTGTTCTCCTCCTCTTTCGGGCCTGTCAGGGCACGCCACGCGGAGTTGGTTGTTAGTGTCAGGTACCAGGCACAATCACCCGCCGGTTGACCAATGACGCTGCGAAAGAGGTGTTCGAAGGCAGATGCGTCCTGCAGCTAAGAAAAAACCAAAACCGCCCCAAGGGCTGACGTCCATGATCCTGCCGAGTACTGCGTAGTGCCAACACGCACCTGCAGAGCCCTGAAGATACATGCAGAGTCATCCGTGGGTTACTCGAAATACATTCACAACAATCGCTATGGTGGTCTGTCTGTCCACCACACCAGGGCTGGAGTACCGACTCCCTCCACCATCCGCAAGAGTGCCGTACCCGCACCCGCACTGCCCAGTCCGAGCCCGTCCCTTGACGCCAGGTACCCGTCCTCTCCTGGCGGCGCCCCCATCCCCATCCCATTTGCGCGAACGAAGCCGTGCTCTAGCCCCCGAAGAGGGCGGCCTTGGCGCTAGAAACGAAAAGGAACTCCCAGACACAGCCTGAAAACGCCCCCAAGAATAGGTGCAGACTGCGGAGTCCTCGAAATAACCTGACGAAATGCGGATTGGGAGGGGACAGAGGGCCATCATTGGATTTGCTTCTCATGTCGTCTGTCCCGTCGATTCCCCCTGTTCCAGCTCCAAACGATGGGGGAGAGCCATTCGTCTGGAGCACCAAGGCCAGCCTGAACGCCGGACGTCTTGGACGGTTACTCCCTATGCTACGACAACATGCCCAGTGGTGTAGGGCCCGGAAGGATGGCAAACCCAACAGGTCCAGACCCAGAGCTCTGAGCTTGGTGAGGCCATTAATTCCACGGACACGTCCAATCATGGCTGGCAAGTTACAACGCCGTGTACAAGATACAAAGTTACAAGCTCTACCGCCATATTGACCAATATCCAAGCCCACTCTCCGATGGGGGCATGTTCCATGCATCTCTGGGAAACACCCTCGGGCTGACGTCTCCACCAGACGTGGTCGACGTTTCCTTGACGCCTCCAAGCTCCAGCAAAGCTCCCCACCACACGTCTTTCATGAGCGAGCATGTCCCTAATCCCTCGTGCTCCTTCATTCGGACGTGATGTATAAGTATTCCCTCATCCCCCTGGTGCCTCTCCTTCCTGTCCCCGGTTTTGAATTTTCATCCCACATCACCATCCTTCGATTTGGCACTTTCGTCTCTTCAGACAGCCTCATTCAATTCACTTACAGCTTTTCACTCCTTTGAAAGCTTAAACAAACCAAGTTTCTTGTAACGGCTAGGTCCCGTTCAGAACAACTCGAGTCTCACTCAACCACACACCACCCAACCCCGGGCAACTCTTCATTCCAAGGTCTATAGCCAGCGGCTCAGATACCTTTGTGACCATCAAACAACTGCCTTTGAACCTGTACAACTGTTGTAGACAACGTTTACAGTTCACTCTCAAAAACCAAAACCTTCCAAGCCCAATCCTCGGCACTTATACACACATCAACAAACACCAAAACACATCCTTCAAGATGCAGTTCTCCAGCCTTCTCGCCCTCCTCGGCTCTGCCGTTGCCGTCGCCGCCAACACCGTCACCTTCAAGTCCCTCGACGACACTGACCGCACCATCTACTTCATCGCCAACTCCGGCCTCGCCGCCATCGACTCTGTCAAGGTCCCCGCCAAGGGCTCCACCACCGTCGACTTCCCCCAGGCCTGGATCGGCAACTGGTACTCCGTCTCGGACGGCTCCGAGAACACCACCGGCATGCTCGGCGAGGTCGCCTTCAACGGCTGGAACGACCTGACCTACTTCGACGTCTCCGCCATCGTCAACGCCAACGACATGGACGGCGTCAAGCTCATGTACCCCGCCTCCGCCCAGACCCCCACCTCCGGCTGCGACAACTTCCTGTGCAACAACGCCTACTACCTCCCCGACGACATCCAGACCAAGACCACCTCCGAGACCGACCTCATCTGCACCCTCGGCAAGAACGGTCTGACCTCAATCGCCTCCCGCGACGTCCACGCCGAGGTCGAGGAGGCCCCCGCCGTTAAGCGTGACTTCGTCCTTGGCAAGTGGTAAATTGTCGAAGCTTTCCGACTTTGACACCTTTTATCATTTCCTGCGGACACCTTTCTCACGCGCTGAGCGCCACGACTTCATGACCACTTCACACGGGATGAGCCAACGAACCCTCAAAAAGTTCAGCGATTCATCTTGTTTTTCATTCCTTTTTACACCATCAAATATCAAAACGGATACCCCAACAGTCTCAAGCGGCGAATGGCTTCTTCGCCAGGGGGGAGAGGAGAGATAAAACTTCTGGGATATAGAGCAACTTTTTGTGTTTACACCTTATTTCAACACCGGCGGAGGAGTTTCGACTCGACTTTCGAGGGGAAAATCGGAGCAATTGGAGCAATTCAGGCGTTTCGCTTTCCCCTCTCCCCCTCTCACCGTCATGGAGAAGACTTTTCTGTCAAGCCTTGGTCTTCTCTTTTTCTATTTTTTTTTTTTTGGCGTTTCGACTTTATTCTATGGGATGAAGCCGGGATCTCAAAAACTTCTTGTCGCTCCTTTGCGCACCACCATTTAGGGAAACTTCTTCTGTTCATACAGACTTTTCGTGTACCTACTAGGGAAAGCCTTTGCACCAAAGGAGGAAAAAACAAAATCAAAAATCAAAAGCGTTCAAAACATCCCATTGCTCATCTGTCCACTGTGCCATTCATTCTAAAGTGACCTCGATGTTTTTTGTTTTTTTTTCTTCATCCTAGTTTCTGTCGATGTTTATTGTTGTTAACCCCTGGCGAGGAGGTGTTCATCTCATCTCGTGTGTTTCTGTTATGAGTTTAAAATGAAGGACGGGAGGCCCGCGCCCACCTCCGACCTCAGTTGCCGGGGGACGTTACGGTCTGTGCCATGGCTGAGCCGGCACCAAAAAAAGTCTAGGTTTCTCAAATAGGAAACTACCAACTAATTATCCTGGCTAATCTAGCTCCCGCCAGCGCGCACGTTTGTGAGCCGTTGCTCCCTTTTCAAACGAGAAGGGGAAGAAAAATAGACCAAGCAAGAAGGAAAAGATCACCGTTGCAACCGCCCCTTCAATCTGTGCAGGAATACCACACCCGACTCTCCATCGTGGTATCCGTAGTCTGTCAACCCTGGCCCCGTCCGTTGGGAAGAAACTCGGAAACACAACCACAAGCATAAGCAGAAGCAGCAAACTCCCGCCGACCACAGACCAACACATACATTAACCACAGGCCAGCTTGCAGCAGCAGAAAGAAGAAAAGCAAGGGGGGGGGAAAGTAAAAAAGGCAGGGGTTCCCACAGACGTTTCAACGGCCGGGATAAAGCAACGACAAAGACAACGCCTCTGCAGCCCCCGAAAAGCAAGAAACGTCGCACCGCCTCCACTCCTCAGTGGGGGAGGCAGAAGGGCAATACTCGTCGTAGATTGTCGTAGATTGGGAAGAAAAAGACGACGTTGCCGTTGACCCGTGCCGCTGGGAAGTAAAGACCACGCGTCGCAGGGGTATCCGAGTCGGACGTCGGGCCTCCCCCTCTGATTGGCCACAAGGCGGAACCCCGGGGGGTGGTGCGCTTTTTGGTAAGGCCACGGGCAACGTCAGCAGCCAACGACGACGACAGCCACTTAAACTGCTATCGTCATCCTCTCGCCTTCCCCCTTGGCGGGAGATGAAAATGAAGGGTATGTCCTGCTTGATTACCAGTGTCGTATGCTGCGGGGAGCTGAAAAACACCAAAAGGGAAAGACAAGCCGATCGCTCCCCCATCAGCTGCCCGATTGACGATTACTACCAAAGGACCCGGCAGGCTGGATCCGACGAGGGAGTGGCAGGTCTGAAACGACGCAGGATGCGGGCTTCCCTTGACTGACGGGCAAACGTATGCGACTACCCGCGGGGAAACGCCCAGCTGCAGTCGTCGTGACTTCTTCTCATTGTGCACATGTCCCTCTCTCCGTGTGGTGGCACATCGGAAAGAGTTGCAAGAAAGGGGGTAACGCAGCTAAAGGCGGGCCGCGCATGGTACGTTGTAGATCTCTCCAGTGGAATGTGTGGTACAGCATTACCTGTAGCAAAAAAAAGTACAGCTTTTCTTCCTTGTGAAATTGACGCCGTTACATGCTAGTCCGCTCTTTCCACACGATTGAAATCCTGCCCCCCTCCCCCCTGCCTCGTCATCCTACAGCTAACATCACGACGACGGTTTTGGCTCCTCCTCTGCCCCTGAAGGCGATTCCGTCTTCCCGTCCTCTGCGCTTTGCCGGCTGCCCGGCTCAGCTGTTGATGTGGTGGTTGACACCGTTGTTTCCGATCCGCCGTCTGCCTGCTTCTCCGAGGGAGGCGACGGGGTCGTCTTGATTTCTTTGGAGTTGATGATGCCCTTGAGGTAGTCGCCAGCGTCGCGGAAGCCATCAAGCTTGCCGAGCTTTGCGATGAAGAAGTCCACGTCTCGGAGCATGCTGCGCGCGTGTCAATAAGTGGAAACATTCGTTTAGCGACAGAAGCGTACCTATTACGACCAGTGTCCGTCTTAGGGTCTGATGTTTGCAAGACCCTTCCGAACTGGTCTTTGTAGCTTGCAAAGACGGGACCCATGATCATCTGCACCGAGTTCTCGGGCAGGTGCTTGTTCAACACTCTGTGCAGGGTCGTGGTCTCCTTGGCTAGCGTCTCCATGTAAGGGTGTGTCGATTGGCTTGTGTCGTTGTCCCAGTCGACGGCCTTCATGGCCTTGGAGTGCGCCGCCGCGCGACCGCTCATAATCTCCACGAGCTTGTCGTAGATGCTGTTCTGGTGCTCTTGGAACAGGCGGCGAACCTTGTCGAACTCGCCCATCAAGCTGGATACGCCTGCACCTGAGCCAGCATGCCTCCGGACGAATTCCCGGATATGGGGAATCAGCATGACGATGAATGATAGAGCTTGTGATGCCAAAGCCAAATGTTTGGTTGTGATGTTCTTCAACCCCGCAGATCGAGTAGCACCCGCGCCAAGAATTAGTTGTGTACAGCGAGAGTTGAACAGCTGTAAGTAAGTAATGAGAGAGGTTGCGATATCTGTGGCCATGGACGGGATGCTTCCAATGAGATGCAGGAAGTGCGAGATACCCTCGAGGCAGAGAATCGCAGCATTCGGTAGTAAGAACGCCTCCCCTTCAATCTCTGCCGTTCGCGCCTTTTCTTTGCTCGTACCGTTTGTCTCCAGTGCTGTATCAACTCCATTCGATGCTTCTTCGTCGGGCTGATCTTCCCATATCTTGGTGCCTTCGGTCCATGCCGCTGCATCCTTAGTGCTGCTCTCGAGGATTTGGTCAAGTAGTATTTTGGATTTTTCATCAAAGTCCTTCGCACTCCATTGATCCGACTCCATGCCCTGAGCAAGCTTCTGCTTCTCAGATTCTCCGTGTTGCTGAACGAATTCTTTGATGTGGCTATTGACAAGGGTCTTCAGTGATGTGCCGCTTCGTCCCGAAATCGCTTCACACTCATTGGAAAAGTAAAGGTTCAGCGTGAAGTATCGCAGAAACCAACCCAGTGTCAGGTGCGTGCTTTGTTCTGACCGGACCTTCAGAACTTTCAAGACCTTGTCCTGGGCCATGTCGACTGCTTGCCCAACCAAATTGGGGACGTCCATTGCTTTGTGTATTTCCTCTTGGACTTCAAAGCTGCCTGGAGCGACGTCCATCCTGGGGAACTCTCGGTCAAATGGCGTTGGGCTTGCAAGAGGCGACCGGATCGGCGGGGATTTGAGCCCTGCCGCAGTGGCCTCCTCAGTCAGACAGCTTGCGATGTCGAGCAGCACCTTGACTTGAGTGGTCAAGCGACGCAGGATTTCTGTGACGCCAATATACATAGTTTTAAGCAACTCCTCGGCATCTTTTGGATCTAGTGCTCGGAGATTTCTTGCCAATATGGACGACTTCTCCTGGTTCGTTCGCTGCCTACCGCCACTCATTGTAGACGCGGACATCATGGATTCGTTATCGTCGTCATTGGAGCTTGGCATGGGCCTGCGGATAATATTCCGCACCTCGCGCAAAACAGCTTCCCTGTAAGCGCTTATAGCAGTTGCAATGTGCTGGGCTCGGTGAAGGCCAAGAATATTTGGCATAACCGCCTTGCGCAGCTCTTGTGTTGAGCCAAGGTAGGCAGGAAATGAGGCCGCTTCTCGCAGAGCACCGCCCCTGGCCCGCACTGACGAGCTGCTCCATCGCAGTAGAACGTCCCGATAACTGACAGATTCGACGTGGTGGCGCAGATCAGCAAGCAGCAAGCTCTGGAACTTGGATTCGTAAGCTCGCCCAATGCGGAAGCGCAATTGATGCAAGTCTTCATTAACGCTTTGTAAAGCCGTTGCGCCCCTTAGATCTCTGAGCCGTGACGCAGGTAATATCGGCGCCTCGGCTTCTGCAGATTCATCGTGCTCGCCCGCGATGAGTAGCTCCAGAGTGTCAATGTTGCTCAGAGCTTTGTCGATTTCACCGGCATCGACTAACGCCTCGCATGCAGCAACTCCTTCCACGACATGTCGTAACTGCAGTACGGCATCGTTCAAGGCTTGAACGTTTTCTCGCCGGCGGCGCTTCTGGACTATGTTGAGGCCCTTCGTGGCGATTTCCTCGTCGAGGGCTTCAAGCTCCTTTCGAAGTGTTTTGATCCTGTCCACGGACTCTGCCGCCTCCGAGTGAAGTTCGCGCAACGAGCCCAGAGCAGTAAAGAAGGTGGTCGACGCCGTTGATATACTGTTGATCAGATGAACTTCGATGGTGTCCATGTACCAGGACAATTTCTCTTGGAGAATCGCGTTTGTTGCCAGCGCTTTTCTGGGTGCCACAACACTTCCATTGCTCCCAGCGTCGGTGTTTCCTGGTGCTGGAGGAACAACCTCCGAACGTTCGCTCACAACATCGAACGTCCTGGGATTCTCGAGATGAAAGTCGTCGTCAAAGTAGACATTGGGAATCGTTGACAATGGAGGCGGTCCTTGGCCACCTTTCCGACTTAGTCCCGAGCTGCTACGGCGTAACGGACCGGGACCTTCGAGAGAAGATATCGATGTAATGGAGGCGATGGAAGACTTTCGCCTGGCTGGTTGGCGACCGGCTGGCTTCAAGTGACTCTCATCCAGTTCTCCATAATCGTCATGTTTACTCGATCTTCGGCCTGCCGAGCCTGGACGTTCATCTTCTTGTTCTTTGACGCGGCGGAGCTGTTCGTAAAGTGCGCCAACTTGCGACAGGTATGGCTTGAATTCAGACGGGTCGACATGAGGGATGTTCGTAAGAGTTACAGGAGGGATGTCGCGAGAAGTGGGGGGTTTATGGGCACTCGAAGCGGGCGCAGAGGTGTGAGGTTGTAGACCTGTTCGAACGATGGGTGGTTGCAGGAGCGTCGAGATGGCTGGTTCGCTGTCAGCACAAGACAAAGCACTTCGATTGTAACAATTCTGTACCATTTTGCCCAGATTCCAACACCGCATTCGCCCAGCTACTGGACGACGTATCGAGAGATCCACCTATAGAATGTATCGAGCTCGCCGTCGAGCCGCGTCGGCCGGTGTGGTGCGGGTAGCCATGTCCTGGTCTGGTTGCTGTTAGCGCAAACGTGGCCGGGAATGAAGCAAGGAAAGTAGCTTACTTATGAAATGGGAATTCGGTTCGCGAAGCCGGCGGAGAGGATGGTTGGGATATTGTGTCCATCGACTTACGGGCAGCCGAAGAGGAATACATGATGCAAGGTAATGACCCCAGATGTGATGTGGGCTGGTGGGAGCTGCTTCTGGACCTCGACGGTTCGCTGAGTCGCAGGAGAGCCGATAACCGTATTAGCTGACAGCCACGTAGCCAGACTACCGGGGTATCATCGCTGGCAAGATCGCATCGGCTTCAAAATTTCGGGAAAACTGGCTCGCAACAGGAAACACAGGTCAAGCGCGACAAGCAAAGAACGAAAGATGCAGTTGGTCTTTGCGCAGCTCGAAGCTTAGCCACGTTCGCAGTTCATCGCCAAGGGGCTTGCGTCCCAGACGGAAGCCGTGATGCTCGCAGATCTCACGTGCAGATAAGATAAGCTGTCACAATTCCCCAGCCGCATGCGGGTACGTACTCGTCAGATTCGCGCTAGCAAAGTAACCACTTTACGCGAAAGCGCGTCGAAAGAAAGGGGCGCGTTCAGTTTCCCTGCGCAACCTGCCCCTCCTTAGCATCCACATTTTCAGTCCAAATCTGTGATCCTCAACACCGCTCCTCTAAGAACTGCTGCCCGCCAACCTTGGATCGCAATCGCAACGATGGACAGCCGATCGATCTACTCAACTCACGTCTTCGAGCCGAGTGATGGCCGAAGTGAGGACAACCGTACACAGATTCAGACTCAGCTGGAGAACTTCATTCTGCAATTCAGACATGACAACGACTACACCTACAGGTTGGTTGCGACACCTCCGACACTCGCCCAGTCGCGCGATTGCTGACCTCTCCTCAACAGAAACCAACTGAAGGAAAACGCCCTTCTGAAGAAGTACTACTGCGATGTCGACATTAACGACCTGATCAACTACAGCGAGGAGTTGGCGCATAGGCTTGTGACGGAACCGGCTGAGATTATCCCACTGGTAAGATTCAGTCTCGACATGCCCACCAATCTTATCTGACGTTCTGCGACCAGTTCGAAGCCGCTCTAAAGAAATGCACGCACCGAATCGTCTTCCCCCAACAAGCCAAGGTCGACCTTCCCGAACACCAGCTGCTTCTCCACTCCAACGCCGACGATGTCTCGATTCGCAACCTGGACTCGATGACGATATCGCGACTCGTTAGGGTGCCAGGCATCGTGATTGGTGCTTCTGTCATGTCATCAAAGGCGACAGAAATCGCGATCCAATGCCGCAACTGCGCCCATGCGTCAACAATCCCTGTGCTGGGCGGCTTCACGGGTGTCACACTCCCCAGGCAGTGCGGCAGGTCGAGAATTCCCAACGACCCTACCCCCAAATGTCCTCTCGACCCGTACTTTGTGCTTCACGAAAAGTCGCGATTTGTCGACCAACAGATTATCAAACTCCAGGAGGCCCCTGACCAGGTTCCTGTTGGTGAACTTCCTAGACACGTTCTCATCTCCGCAGACCGCTACTTGACCAACCGTGTGGTCCCCGGCTCAAGGTGTACAGTGATGGGAATCTTCTCCATCTATCAAAACAAAGCCACCAAGAACTCGGCTACCGGCGGTGCTGTCGCCATTCGCACTCCTTATCTGAGAGCCGTAGGCATCCAGACAGATATCGACCAGACGGCAAGAGGCCAGGCCCTCTTCTCTGACGAGGAAGAGCAAGAATTCTTAGAGATGAGCAGAAGGCCCGATCTTTACAACATCATGGCCGACTGCATAGCGCCATCTATTTACGGAAACCGCGACATCAAGAAGGCCATTCTTTGTCTGTTGCTTGGTGGGTCCAAGAAGATCTTGCCAGACGGCATGAAGCTTCGTGGAGACATCAACGTCCTACTCCTTGGTGATCCTGGTACGGCAAAGTCGCAACTGCTTAAGTTTGTGGAGAAGTGCGCACCGATTTCCATCTACACTTCCGGCAAGGGTTCTTCAGCTGCCGGTCTGACAGCATCCGTCCAGCGCGACGCATCTACCCGCGAATTCTATCTCGAGGGAGGTGCTATGGTTCTTGCTGATGGTGGTGTGGTTTGTATCGATGAGTTTGACAAGATGCGTGACGAGGATCGAGTGGCCATTCACGAAGCCATGGAACAACAAACGATCTCTATTGCGAAGGCCGGTATCACTACTATTCTCAACGCCAGAACATCAGTGTTGGCGGCAGCCAACCCCATCTTCGGTCGTTACGACGACATGAAGACTCCTGGTGAGAACATTGACTTTCAGACCACGATTTTGTCTCGTTTCGACATGATCTTCATCGTCAAGGATGAGCACACACGCGAGAAGGACGAGAGGATAGCGAAGCACGTTATGGGCATCCATATGGGTGGCCGTGGTGCGGAAGAGCAAGTTGAGTCGGAGATCCCAGTGGACAAGATGAAGAGATACATCAGCTACTGCAAATCGTAAGTTGTCCAGCAAACATAAACGGCCAAGATGGCATGCTAATGATATTATCAGGAGAATGGCTCCTCGCCTCAGCCCAGAGGCCGCTGAGAAGCTGTCGTCCCACTTCGTCTCCATCAGAAGGCAGGTCCACGCCGCGGAGATGGAGGCAAACACGAGATCTTCTATCCCGATTACTGTCCGTCAACTTGAGGCCATTGTCCGTATTACCGAGTCTTTGGCCAAGTTGACGCTGTCTCCTATTGCTACCGAGGAGCATGTGGACGAGGCAATCAGACTTTTCCTCTGCTCCACCATGGACGCTGTCAATCAGGGCAGCAACCAAGGAAGCAAGGAGCTCAACGATGAGGTCAACAGACTGGAGGCTGAGCTCAAGCGACGCCTGGCAGTTGGCTGGAGCACCAACTTGTCTACATTGAAGCGCGAGATGGTTGAGCAAAAGGGCTACACTGAGCAAGCACTCAACAGGACACTGATGATTATGCAAAGGAGGGATACGATTGCCTTCCGCCAAGGAGGCGCGCAAATCTACAGAAATTCGTTGTAATAATTGCTAGAGGATTTTTGTTTGTTGGGCGGTATTGATGAACATGGCAAGATGCCTCATGAAAGGAATGATAATCGAACCCATCCAAGCCTTTGTAGCTGTGTATGTTCTTTTCAAGAATAAATTCAAAAGTTTGATAAAGATAGAAAAGCTATTTTACAACATCTAAGCAAAGCATTCTGCTTTGTTGATCAAGTCTGCTTATGTCTGTCCAGGCCAATTAACTGCTTGATGTACAGCCCATCCAAATCTCAGAAGCCTCGTAGCCCAAGAATGAAAATAGCTACGGTTTGGATGAATCTGGCCAATATGAGACACGCGGTTATATGGTCTACTTGGGCCGCCACGAATTGCTGGAAACAACAGGTTTGTTGGAGTTCCAGATCTGGAGTTCGGAGTGGATCTGACTAGACGAGACAGATTAGCTGCATGATCCAGAAGATTCCGCATATTTCCATGACCACAGTCCAGAGCAATTCAGACACGCCAGTTCTCCGCAGGCTCAACCTGGTCAACGCGCATAGGCCGAAATGAGACGACACGACGCACTCGCGGCTGAGCAATCGGTTTACCAGATGTAAGATTGTCATCCTGTCTCTGTACAGCCAGTTCCCCATCCCGTCTCCCATGAAGCGTACCTTATTATTCAGCAAGCTCCTGCTGGGGAGATGAATCTGCGATTTGGGGCTCGAAATGGCATTGCGTCACGAATGGAGGCAACCCCGTCATCGCACGAGGAATGGGCAAAAAGATTTTGGCATACAACTCCAATGGGCGGAGCATGTCTCTTGCGTCAGGTGATCATCGCATCATGGAAGCCGCACGAGGGGCCCTCACAACAATTGTTTTAAGCAAGACTAATGTCAATCTCGACACATCCTTTGGAATCGTCAGCAGCGTGGAAGCGATGTAAAATCGAGGCAGGCTGGCGATGATTTGAATAGGTGGTCTGGAATTGTTGAAGAAGGAAAAGAGAGAAACAAGGCCTGCCGCTCTCGGCCGCGAAGTTTAAAAAAATTCAGGCTGGCCCGTACTGCGGGTGGGGCCCGTGTCTGTCACGTGCGTCACAGTGTCGAGGTGAGGGTGCAGGTGAGCGTGGTCGTGGTACGGATATGTGGGACGTGGTCGTGTCGCTGCCGGCTGCCTGATCCAGCCACACCTGTCCCTGGGGGGTCCCTCTTCCTCCCAACCATCAGCCAGGGCCGGTGATCGGGTGTCGGGTGTCGGAGCGGGCACGGTTAGCCATGGTTTCCTAGACGATTCGCTGCTGGGGACGTGCCTTCCTGTGTTGCGAGACATGTTACGGCGGAATGAAGCACCTAACCCAGATGCATTTAGAGTACCTCCAGCGCGTAGACGGCCCCTCAGGGCTCTACCTAGACTCTCCAGCTGCGCGGGCTTTGGGCCGCTTGCTGCTCCGGTCGGTCCCAAGAACGGCAGGCAGGAGGCAGGCAGGCAGGTTCCTGCTCTTTCCCTCGCCAGTCCCTTTCGACTTCCACCTCTCTCCAATCCCGCGGCAAAGCCTAGGCCCACTCCTCCCCTTCGCTCTCCCTCCGACAGCACACAACTGGAGGTAACCTCACACCTCACACAGCGCACACCCCCTTGCTAAACTTACCTCGTCCACTCGCTCCCGCCCGCCCTTCTTCCACCGCACCTCACCTTACCTCAGCCAGTGCCAGTGCCAGTGCCAGCCAGCGCAGCCCACGGCCCAGCCCAGGCGGCCACCCCCGTTAAGCGAGCAAATTGCCTCGCTCATGTGTCCGCCCCCTTCACTCTACCCAGCGCCGTTCAGACTTCATCTCCTTCAACTCCACCACGACCTACCGCCAAAACACCGCGAATCGACGACCGATCTTCGACAGCCGCCCATCGCCGTCGGATTTTCTTGTCGCTTTCACTACGCCAGTTGGATTTTGGCACAGGCAAAAATTTTTATCACCCAGGAAAGTCCGCCGCGATCCACGGTTAATTGGACTGCGGTGCATGACGCTGCATCGGGGGATCGAGAGCCGTCGGCGGTTTGGCGCGACTCGCCACAGCAACCCCCTCATCCTCTGATCGAGCCCAGGACGACCACAGTCATCGAGCGCATCGTGAATCCCG